ACCTGCAGCCGCCACCTCCACCTGCAGATTCTGGCAGACAGCTCAGCTCCCCCATCTACAGCCTCTGTCTTCAACCTGCAGCCGCCCCCTCCACCTGCAGATTCTGGCAGACAGCTCAGCTCCCCCATCTACAGCCTCTGTCTTCAACCTGCAGCCGCCTTCTCCACCTGCAGATTCTGGCAGACAGCTCAGATCCTCCATCTACAGCTTCTGCAGCCTCCATCTACAGCCACTGTCAGGAACATGCAGCTGCCACCTCCACCTGCAGAATCAGAGAGCCAGCTTGGCTAAACCTTAACTAGAGCCTCTGCCAGCAGCCTGCAGCCAGCGCCTCCACCTGCAGATTCTGACAGACAGCTTAGATTCTATATCTACAGCCTCTGCAGCCTCCATCTGCAACCTCTTTCAGCAACCTGCCCCCCCCCCCCCCACCTGCAGATTCTGGCAATTTTGCATTTATAGCATCATCCAGAAACCTACACTGCTGAATCCTGTGTTTTGCCATGTGAAGACCTAAGCTAACCAGGGACCAGAGATGCACCAGGGACCAAAGAGCAGAGATGCACTAATAAATATAACCTTTCAGGTAAGACAGACAATCATAACTATGTAATAATAAGTATATGTGGTGTGATGAGGAGACTGTAGTCTTCCTCAAGTGCATGATATGTTCAAACAAATGATACACATGATATGGTACACTGAACAGCTGTGGTGGAAGTTTAATGAAATACTATACTTGAGTTCTTGAATATTTCCGTTTTATATTGCTTTATCCTTCTAACAAATATCTCACTTTTCACTCCACTACATTTATTTTTGACAGCATCATTATTAACACGAACTATAATCAGCATAATTTTCATGTATTTTTATGGATCAGTACATATAGTAATTAAAATTAGCCCCACCTTTACCAGCTGCAACATCAAAGTGATGAACACACTGATGTGTCGATAATTATAATCCAAAAGAATATGTAAATTATCCTGAAGTGGCTCACTCTGTATGATAAATACTTTTACTTTGGTTCTTTAAACATATTTTAATGCTACTACTATTGTACTTTTACTGAAGTGAAGTTTTAAATGCAAGAACAGTGTACTTTCACTGCAGATCCAGTAGACGGCATCCTTGCACAATTTTTCGGACTTCATCGTTCCACTACAGCTGTTTTTCTAACACCTGCTCTGTCCCATCTAATCTTTTCTGTTGTCCTGTGAGTAATCAATGATGCTTTTTGAAAGAGAGGAAACACCATCTTAAGCTTCTCCAGCGCCATACTGAGCAGGCTCACTGTACTATCCTCCTGTTCATCTGGAATACATCAAGGTCAGCCGCTCCTTCTCTTGTGTTATTTCATTATTGATGAAAGCCAGAGGAAAGCACTCTGGTGATACAGCACCTTCTGTACTTTCTCATATACTGATGGAAGTGTGACAGCTTATTTTTGCTGTAACCTGGGAGCTGGAATGAAATGTGTGAAATGTGTGACACAAATATTTCTCACTGTGCTCCGGCATGCCGAAGCAGAAAGCACCCTGCTGACTCAGATCTCATTAAGATGCACTGAAGGGAGCAGCTGTATGATTTCCAAGCAAAATGGTAAAATTAGAGCAGAGAGAAGGGGGGAAAAAACGGATGAAAAATGAATGTTGTGAAATGGTTTTTGCCAGAGAGACAATAAACCCCAAGTGAGAAAAGTAGACTCAATGCTATCGCAACCCATGGTACATTTTTTAAATTGAAGTGTTATACAGTTCAGTAACAGAAGAGAAATTAAATCAGTTTAATACAATTTATCTTGTAATCCTGCAATGCATCATTAAAAGTCTGTGATTTACTGAGTGTAATCAAATTCACTATGTTAAGGTCAAACCTCACATTTTTGCAGCTGCAGAGAAAATTAGCCTCTGACAGTGTTTTTTGCAGTTAATTAATCTGCTTGTTACACAGAGTCCCACAAGAATAGGCCTATGATTCAGCTGTAAATCAGTCCTGCAGATATTATACAGGTATGTCCAGGTATTACAAAATCCTCCTGAAGTGTTCACTGTCCTGCAGGACCAGATTCTGCAGATTATGACAGGACTGCAGGACATAACACTTTCTGTAAGATTCTGATACAGGCTGGTTAATTCCCATTGGACTGCTGGCTATCCCTGCAGGGCAGTCTCATTTTGCATAATACGCTGAATCAGCAGAATCTAAACTTTCATGCTTCACTAATTAAACAACAAGTCAGTGTACCACATGGTGAACTTTTAAGAAGTTCTGTACTGTACCTATTATTAATTAAATATGATTAAGAAAGAAATTTCAGGCATTTTGTTGATTATCAACTCACTTTATTACTCGTCTTCAACACTGTATAACAATACTAAATCAGTCCAGCCTGTACAGTAACTCATCATAAGACAAAGTCATGCTGTAATATGCAAACTGCAGTTGTCCTGACTATGTTGGCCAGAGTAACAACAGACTCTGATTAATAAATAGACGTGTAATGATTATCATAACAATAAAAATACCTGTTGACTAGACTGTCTCAGCACAAGCTCCATTTAGAAGCTGCTGTGGAGCTTTCAGTGTTAGCACTCAGTGTCAGCAGATGGAGTTTGCAGATGTTCAAATTTGAACTCTTTCTGCTGAGGAAGATCAGGCGATGTGATCAAAAGCTCTTAAAAAATAACGACATAGACCTTGTGACATTGTTTTCAGGGTCTTGAATAAACTACTGGTTACAAATCTCTATATTAATAGTTATCTATATTAGTAGTATTTTAACAATATTATTAGTATTAATAGTGTTTTATAATATTCATTTTGTTAATTAAAGTGTAATCACACACACTTCATTTCTGAAAAGGATGGATCAAAACCTGAAAATAATTGACATCACAAAGTGATGACAGTGTTGGTGCAGGAGGGAAAGTTCAAGATGTGTGTACACTGTGATAGCACCGTCAGTGGTATCTAACCCCTTGAAGCTGGGGTAGGCAGTTTTACTTTGGCGTCACTTGGAAACAAATCCCATAATAAACTGGTGACTCTAAATTGGCCGTAGGTGTGAATGTGTCTGTCTCTTTGTGTCAGCCCTGTGATAGCCTGGCGACCTGTCCAGGGGGTACCCCGTCTCTCGCCCAGTGTCAGCTGGGATAGGCTCCAGCCCCCCACGACCCCAAACAGGATAAGCGGTTCTGCACCTCCCCTGCACCTCCCCTTAGCTCTGCACCTCCCCTTAGCTCTGTTTTCAGGCTTTAGGGAATCTAGCCTGTGATGTAAGACTTTGGACAATAACAGGTAATTTCGGAGAGAGGGCATTCCTATTGGCTGTTCTAAAAATGCAGATGTGTATGCACGTCCCTTCAGTGAAAGCTTGACTCAATGGCGGAGAATCCTGCAGAGAAAGTTGCTATTCCAACTGCTTACCCTGCAAAGCAACCCAAAAAAGGAGGACAGACTTTTCCAAAAGAGTCTATAAGTGAGTCTGACAATGAACATAGAAAAAAGTGGAGGTGTTGGCAAAGCGTTTCAGAGATGGAGAGAAAATGTTGCTAATAGTTGAGCTTTCTGCTAACCAGAACCAAAGGCTCACAGCTGCAACTACAAGTTCACGTTTATATAGCTAACAATAGCTAGAGCCTTGAATCACAGTGTGTCCTCTGCCTCATTCCTTGTTTCTTTAGACCACCTTGCTGGGAGGAGAGCAGACAGCAGCTCTTGAGACTGATCCCAAGTCAGCTCTTGCAGCAACTCAAATCCAACCAGCGCAAACCCCAGCTGGCGTTACAAAGGTTAGACCTGTGCTGCTGCAGCCCACCATGACACCTGGCGCTGGCGGGGGGATTTGCACTGGCTGAATTCAAGTCGTCACAACCACCAACAGAAGGTCAGTCTCCTGAGCTGCTGCCTGCTCTCCTCCTGGGGAAACAGCTCACAGTGGCATGGAGCAAGGCGGAGGGACTGTGGGCTGGCTAGCAGCTAATTCTCGTCTCATTCGTGGTCTGATAAACAGAGAAAGCGGGGGAAGGAGGTGTTGAGTGAATTAACTGCGTGCATCTGTACAATGAATTAAGATTAAATAAAACAATGTATGACACTGGGTTACTGTATCAAGTACAGTACAGTATGTATATATGCCTGTGTTCCCCAGCTTTAAATTACACCTCTAATTTTACCTTCAGTAGGTGTTTGAGCAATGTTTGGCTGCACAACCTAAATTTATAATGACTCACTGAGGGGCCAGTGGGGCAGTTAACCTGCCTGGTAAATGCAGATGTGTGCACCTGTGTACAACACTGACAGATTCGCAGCTGTATGTCTAAACTGTTTGCAGGTTACCTCAACATTTGGATGTGGAACATGTGGAGTCAGACAGTCCGGCACTTTCTGCCTCCTTCTCGTTCCTGTCAGGCGTAATGGACTCAGGTGCTCTTAAGGCGGAAAGACAAGGTCACTGGTGTCATTTTTCAGTGCCACCGGGAGCCGTTTGTCAGAGCTGGTTATGATTAAAAGCCTCCCCTGCAATAAATAACAGGGTGTATCAGTTGGCTACTGGCTGCTGTCCCGGGGTTAAAGTATCTGTAAATCGTGAGCATTCCTCTTCCTCGTACGCTTGTTTCACTCAGCAAAGGTTTCAACCTGCTGCTGTGACTCTGGCTGCAGCTTTTAAGTTAGAGCATCCTCACTTAAGAGTAATGAGGATTCATATTAACCCCCAGGCCCTGCAAATTAATTCACCACGGAAAAACCTGCATTAAAAGCACAGAAACCTCCAAACTGCAAAAGCCATCACTAGGGCTGCTCTGATGGGGGTGCTGTAAGAGATAAGAGCCACATATAAACACACAAATTTACACCATAATGGCATTTATAGTGCTTTTGTGACAAATGGAAACTGCAAAAACATCTGTATCATAAACCTGATTTAGCTGTTACTGTAAAAGTGTTGTACATAACAATGTTCACACAGGCGAAAAAAAAAACAGAAACAAGAGTTAAATCACATTTTGACTTTAATGTATAAAAGACCAATAACAGCATATTACAGCAGCATATATTGTACATACATCATTTATATTGTAAAAGAGGAGGTGCAATATTCTGGTACAAAAAGAGGAGATGAGCAGCTGTACCTTTTCTCATGGAGTGTCATTTTATTGCCTCTTCTTCATCTCAATTCATGGTACAAAAAGAAACGCACAATAACACATTGCAGATTTAGTGTGTAATATACAGCATAATGCAATAAGACTACATACAGATCTGAGATTTATTTATGTACATAATATACATGAAATACATAGTTTGATTTGGAATGTCTGTCTTTAGTTTTAACCTCTGACTAAAATCAAACTCTCTGACTACCTCTACACAGTGGAGGTGACACACTTCTTCTGCTCTGATCTAAAGAGAATTACTCTCTAAATAAACAGCGGGCAGGTTTGAAGGGGAAGAAAATAGAATAATGCAGCAGTGCATTAGACTTGAATAAACATCAGCTCGGCTGTGGGGAATCGCTAGCCTGCTCCGTCTCTGCTTTTTAGATGTCATGCCGGCAAATCTGGGAGGCTTTTCAATCTTCACCAGCTCCTGGGGCACTTGGCTTTCAGCTGTGTGGTTAAGTGTGTCTTTGTACAAGTGTGTGTGTGAGTGAGTGAGTGTGCATGTGATATGTCTGTGTGTGTTTGTGAAGTGCATCCTGGGGGCTACATTAGCTCTAGATCTGTCAGTTCAGACAGGATGCCTGCTTTGCCTCTCACTGTCAGGATGTCTGTACACTAAACACACACATGCAAACACACAAACACACACACACACACACACACACACACACACAAGCAGATCGAGCTACACAGGGGAAATACACTATTAAGTATACAGCATAAAATGATGGTGGCGTGTGTCAGTATTGAACCTGCAGTCAGCATCTTTGTATTCTTGAGGTTTCTTGACATGTAAGTTTAAAACTCAAACAAGCCCACAAAGATGAAGTCATGAGGTCGTTTCCCAGGATTCATTTTCTGCTAATGTCTGATACTTTGTCTGCAGCGACATCAAATCTAATAACGCTTTGAACTCGACATCAAACAAAACGTCGGCACCGGCTGAATCAACGTTATTAAATTCATGGTCTCATTATATGGTCTGTTGTTCATTTTGTCTGGGTCTCCAATTCTGCTCTGAAACATAGTGATGCGTGCATTTGTGTGAATGTGTGTGTGTGTGCAGTGATGAAATGGGAAAATGGGGCTGAAGAGAAAGCAGCAGGGAATTGAACATGTGGAGAGGGGAAGGGGGAAGATTCTCATTTGAGATAAAAATATAGACCTTGCAATCTCACACACACACACACACACACACACACAGAGGAAACAGCAGAAAAGAGGGAGGTAGGACAGATCACTGACCCTGTGTAAAACCAAGCCTTTAAATAGCTGACCCTGTGCTCTGTTGGAAATTGAAAGCAAAATTTCCCTACAGGGATCAACAAAGGACCACTGCTACTCTTAGTATTATTACTCAGGTTATAAACCCAATAACAGTGCTTTTTTGGACCACAATTATGTGAACAATGGCAGACTGACAAAGTTAACAAGAATAGGTCAAACCCTAGTCAATGGCTGGACTGTGAATGACAGTCTGGAGGGCTTTTAATTTAAAACAGGAAGTGGTGACATGCACTCAGCCATGGACTTTACCCCACTGTGGTCCAGCCCAAAATTTCATGTAAATAAATGTTAAAATGAGGAACAATAAACTTTGACAGAGTCACACAGCAGAAGAGAGCTGCTTTCTCTAGAGCTGCATCTGCTAATTATCTAACACAACCCTCCTCTCTTTGTGAATTTGCGTTCCCCAGGATACAGAGGATAGACCTCTCTACTCTGTCTAACTCTGCTTCTGATTGGCTTACCCTGACATTCTTACACTTACCCTAACCAATCCCACTCCTCTTGCCTAAACCTAACCAACCCAATCAATGAAAGCAACAAGTCGTAGTCAATATGAGGAAGAGGAGGGTGGGTCATTCCTTTGCTACCCTAGGACAGGCTGTTCTCATGCACTGTGTGTACATTTTCACATGAAAAGTAATGCACCGAAATTCGTACACATCCTATGTAATCATGAGCCAGTAATTTGTGCATAAACCGCATATTTTGGAAGGCTGCCATCACATGACAAACGCACTGACGTTAGTGAAAAAGGAAGCTGTCTAGAGCGGTCCACTTAGAAGGCAGATTGGGGCTGTGGATAGGTCACAAAACAAAGGACTTTCCCTCATGACTTCCCCAAAAGACCGGTATTCAAACCCATGTGAACTTTGAGTCATTTTAAGGCATGTCCTTACCTTGTTTCTTTTCGTAACCTAACCTCCTTCACTTAACTTACCTAAACCTAACCTCTGTGACTTTACGTTAATTACATAACTTTACATCAAGAATGCAATGTCATCCATGGGGTGCTTATTCATAGGATATTACTCTTACTGTTGTGTGTGCAATGTTGTAGGATATACGAACCATTGTATGAGGATACGTTGTCCTCCACTTCGGTCAGTGACGTACATCCTCACTAGCTGAGGCTTTGCAACAATCGGTCACTATCAGAGCCAAGTTCTGCCAATAACGTCCTTTGGATGCCAATTAATTGGCCAAACCAATTAACTGGTCAACCTCTAGTTTCAGATTGTTACTAAGGTAGGTGCACCCATTCTGACATCTAATTTCAAATTTCTCACAGTGATGGCACCTGTTCCGACACTGTAACCTGTAATAGTCATTAACGTTACTAATAAATTTTAAGGCTTGTTCCTCAAACAAACTGATGAGGTGATCCTCTCTTTCCTCCGTCAGAATTTGCCATTTCAAACACAGCTGGCTAGTTAGCTACCTTGCGTGCCAATTCCACCATACTTTTATGCTAACGTAACAGTGGTTACAGAAAATGAGCTGGACAAAGTTGCCACTCATCTGATAAAAGCAACGTGCTTTCTGTTATTGTGACAAGAGTGTGTGGATGAAGCATTAAGTTGTTAAATTTCACTCATGTAGTGGCGAGCTAGTTAGCTAGCTAGCTAGCTTGCTAATTCCACCATGCTATCATGCTACACCTGAGTACATAAAATGAGGAATAAAGTAATACAGGACTGACAGCACCCACGGCTCAGTCAGGGAATATTCATGTCAAGAGACTAACAGCCAATGGAGAAACACCAACACTTATGACATCACTGACTCGCATCAATGATGTAACTTCATCGCTCACTCATGGACAGACTTTAGTGTTTCAGGGCTGGCCTTGCATGCTGTGGTCCAGCCAAAAATAAAAGAAAAAGAAAAAGTTGGATAATTTGCCATTGGAGCTTGTACAAAAAAGCTACAATAAATTGCACATCACAGTATCTGTGTGCTTCAGATGTGAGCTGATGCAACATGGAAGACATACACAGAGAAATATTAGATAAAAGCATGATGATATGTTTTTGACTGTAAAGAATAAAGAGTGTCACAGTTTCTTACAGTATGGCTGTTTGTAAGGTTGTGCTGATTATGTCAAAAGTCTTTCTTTCATCTGTCAGCGGGCGAGAAAGGGAAAGAAAGACGAGGAGAGCAACTCGCCAACTGCAGCATAAAATAATAGGGAATATATTAAAATAGCATCAATACACACTATCAGATGCTGTTAGGAGAAAAATGATGAGGCACCTCAACGGTCTTGACAATCTCCCTCTGTCTCTCTCACCTTTTGTCAAAAGAAATAGAAGCTGAAAGCAACCATGTAGGTTTCTGTGTGTGTGTGTGTGTGTGTGTGTGTGTGTGTGTGTGTGTCCCACCTTGTCTACAGGAACAAAATAATAGGCAGGAAAAAAAAGCTGCAAGACAGTTGTTCTGTCATGCTCAGATAAACACTGCAGATTCTCCTTCACCATTGGTGTCGGTGGCAGTTCATTTCTGCGTCAAAAGTTATCAGGATCTTCAAATATAAAAACTTTATCAGAAACCTGACACATGGTATAACCACAGCCTAACCATAGGCAGTCGTCACGGAGAGTTAAATCTGACTTTGCTGAAGTGTAAAAACCTGAAGTGTGTTCAGTAATCAGTCTCTCACTTCCCGGTGTCAGGTACATGCTGGCAGGCAGATGGGTTTGTTGTTGTAACTTCAGTGACCAAGTCAGTGATGACAAAGAAGACGGTCTCTGTCTGAGCCAGGTCATGCACAGTCCGGCGTTGAATGTTAGCGTTTGTGTTTTCACAGTCTGACGGCCACCACACATGCTCCAGCCCTGCCCAGACACAGAGGTGCTACCTGCAAAGAAACATAAGAGTCACAGATGGATACTAAAACAGTGCAGCAATGGATTTATCTCAAACTATAAATCAGTGCAGTCCTGTGAAATCATGCCATTTCATGTTGCTGAGTTTAAAGATTGGATGTGCCTGTTTGGGGTTGAGAAAATTCTATCATATAATCAATATTTTCTAATACCGATGGTTCAAATTGCAGTGTGTAATGTTTAATAGGTCGCTCGTTCAGATCAACAGAGAATAATCATCCGACTCTGCAACTCTTTTCAGCTTTATGGAGCTTGAAAATAAGTTTCAGCATTTATGCTCTTTCCACTAAAAACTGCAGGTGGAAAAAGCTATTAAAAAAACCCTCTGTATACTATCTGCTTTGCTCCAAACAACAGACAGATAAGAGTTTTGATTCTGTGCCAGGACCTGATGGAGTCCGACCTGACCCGTCGGGCTCAGGCTGGGCTGGGCTGTAATTTCTCAAAATTCCCCTGGACTTGAATCAAGTAGGGTTCGCTCCAACTGTGATTTTTAAAAATTTTTGTTAGTGTATTATAATGAATAATGTAATGTTGTGTTGCCATCAACCCATCTCAGTTCCTGCCTCTATTGTGTGTATATATATATATATATATATATATATATGCTTTTGGGCTGTGCTGAACATTTTGAAGAGGATGTATGTCAGAGATCATGTCACAAATGTCTGTTACGACACTGAAAAAGACTGGCGTGAAATAAACGTTTTCTATTCTTTTAAAAAAAAATTTACAGTGGAAATTGTAAAAAAAAAAAAAAACTGCTGCTGAGGTTTGGGCTGAGGTTGAGCTTGGACAGAAACTATGCAGGTTCATGCGAGGTTGGGCCTGATTTTTTCAGCCACAGTTAATGACTAGCTGATGAACACAGTAGAGCTTTTAGCAGAACCTGATATTTCCATCAGGAGTCGGTGGAGACCAAAAACAGAGTGAATACTGGACTTACATTCATCAAGGGGCCAAACACACAACTCTAAATGACTGATAATGTTGCTCTGTGTCTGTCTGGTGGTCTAAATTAGAATCTGTTTGCTAATAAGCTCACCATAACAGGTTATAAAAGTGAAAATGTGCCAGTGTTGTGTTTGCAACTTGTTTCCACCACCTCCAATTGGACAAAAAATTGGGCATGTCCTGATCCAATCTCAAAGATTAGTATCGGAGCCAATCAAGGCATTTTTTTAAGTAATTGGGATCGGATGTATAGATTGTTTTATGTCATTTGTGACACTGGTGTTTTTGCAAATGGTTCATGCACAGTGACAAGTACAGACTTGATCAGGACATCCCAATAAAAAATAGTTATTGCAGGTTTAAAGTGCTCAGATAAAATGGAACATTTTAACATCTATAATGCTGTGACTACTGGCCAACTCCACCTGCTGATAAACATCATGTAATATCGGCAATGATATGAAGAGCTCCAGACGACTACTAAATGGACCTTGAGGTGAGACTGTTTTGCCTGACACTGTTTCCGAGGTCAAGAATGAACTCAAGCGAAAGGATTATTATGTTACTGCAGGATGTGTACAACATTGATATTTGGCATCTGGGCTCTGACCTCATCACTCCCTGCAAGGAAACACCGAGTCCAGCACAGCGGGGAGTGGGGAGTGACGATAATCCTTTGGCTCTAAGGGAAGCTTTGTGTTTTTTGTAGTTGTCTAGTCCTGTTACTTCTTGTAGCCACTGCTTCTGCGCTGATAGTCAAAGCTGTCTGTCAGTCACCTGATTTTAAAAACATGAACTTACCACCCATGTTATCAGTCTTGGAAGTAGAGAGACTGACAGATTTGTGCTAAAGCAAGCAGGAGAAGTAGTGCTACTAGGAAAGGACAGACAACCAATCCACTGCTTTGTTTGTTTCACTTTCTGACAATGAACAGAGGACACATTTAACGGTATGAACATGTCCTCTCACATCTCAGTTAGTCCTCATCCCTCTGTGTCAGTCTGAGTGTTTTCGTTATTCTGTATCCACCCATCTACCCCCTCTTGTTCCCAGCATGGTGCATGTCTCTAAAATAGCAGATTTCCAGCGACTTTGGTCGGAAATCCTCTGAGGCTATGCAGGAGATGAGGTATAAACTGAAGTGTGATAGACTTGTGCTGAGTGAAATCGTTCAAAAAATAGTCCCTTCTTTTTCTCCTTCTGCTGCGGTGGCAAGGACAATATTAGCATGAGGAAAACACACATTTACATAACAATGAAAACATGCCAAGATACATGAGAGGGGAGCTGGGAGAAGGTCAGACTGTGACTGTGTGTGTTTATATAACAACGTTATTGGTGTACATCATGATTTATGACTTGTTTTTTACTGAACTACAGTCAGTGTGTCTATGTAAATACAAGCAAATGGATTCATATAAATCAAATGCGTATGTGTGTATATGAGATGTGTGTGTGTGTGAGTGTGTGTTGCATTAGTGTGTACCTGTGTCCACTCATTCGTCTGTGGGTCGTAGGCTTCTACAGTGTTGAGATACACCTGACCATCATAACCGCCCACAGCATAGAGACGGTCGCCAAGGAGACAAACCCCAACAGCATCTCTGCTGATGCTCATGGGGGCAACTGCTGTCCACACATCTGTCTGAGGGTCATACCTGTACAGAGACATCACACAGAGAACACACAAAGTGTGAAATCACATTTAAATAAAAGCTTATTTTTTTAACATTACGGGAAATACACTTACTCGCCTCCTTTCCACAAGTTAGATGAGAAAATCGATATCAATTTCATGTCTGTGGAGTAACTATAGAGCTAGAGGCAGAGGGTGATTAGCTTAGCTTAGCATAAAGACTGACAGCAAGAGGAAACCGCTAGCCTGGCTCCTAAAAAACAAAGCTCATTAAGAAGGTTGTATCTCATCTGTTTAATCCATACACTGACAGAAATGTAAAAATAAAAAGTTATTCCACAAAAATCCCCTTAAAATCACAAACTTTCTTTCGTTTGTGTCCTAGTTAAACAAACAAGGTATAACGTGTTAATCAGTCAACCTTCAGGTGCTGGTAGGACCGATTTTTAAAATTTGGACTGAGCCAGGCTAACTGTTTCTCTGCTTCCAGTTTTTATGCTGAGCTAAGTCCTGACAGAGTGGTATCAGTCTTCTCATCTAACTCTCCACAAGAAAGCAAATGAAAACCACTCTGAAGAATAAAAAAATAAAAAAATAGACTTTGGTGCCCCCCTGTGGTAATATTGAAAACAACAACAACAACAAAATGGCAATATACGCTGCCATCCACACCTACAGTACAGGTCCAATAGCATCACATAGACTGTGCCATCTTTCCACAGAACTGTGTTATTTTTCTATAAACAATAGGAGAGGGCACCATGGCTAAAATCTTCAGTCACGGTGTATGTAACTTTTCATCATGGTAACTGTATATATGACGATACAGTAACTGTTGTGGAAATTCAATTAAGAAATGGTTAAAAATATCCATAAAATAACCATACCATACATTTAGAAATTTTGTACAAATACTAAAACAGCTACCACGCATGAGACAACACTTGAGGTAAAAACAAAGCATTCAAAACAGTAAAAGTAAAATTCCTTCAAAATGGAAGCTTTAAGGTTCCTGAGAACAATCATTTCAAGTCTTACAGGTTTCTGTATGTAACAACTTCACTCTTATCCTCCATGTCCATGTCCAAACCACAATACCTGGCAAGGTAGCTGGATCACCATGAGCTAAATTCATGAGATCACATGGAAGTCATGAGATCAAGGGAGAGTCCAGCCCTGATGTGCTACACAGCCTGCCTCACACAGTTCCTGTAATACGAATGGTATTGCAAATTCTCTACCGGTGGACACATTTCCAGTGTCGCACAGTATATACCATCATATCACCTAACCATACTAAATAAAAACATACTGTAATCCATCAAATTATATATACACTGATCCATCACATAGTAAACTGTGCACTGAAATTTTTACAATTCAAACACACACACATACAAATACATCCAGTACATATAGACCCACCTCTCCACACAGTCACTTAGCCGCGATGCAAGGGATGAGGCCGGAGCATCATGACCTCCAATGGCGTACAGGAAGCCATGCCATGTGGCCACACCCACACCTCCACGCCTTTTAGCCATAGGAGCACAACCACTCCATCTGTAGAAGGAGGTTGTAAACATCAGGAAGAGAAAGAGAAAAAAGCAGACCTTCACACTTACAACATGGGAAAACTTGAAAAAGCTGCCAATTCTAAATGTTCCAAAATGTGCTCCCTTTTTTTTTTTTTTTTTTTTTAAAGGAAGATTATTTTCAGAGGACCAATAAGAAACTTGTCTCAGCCTTCCAGTGAAGACCATAATGACTGTACTTGATAAACAGAAGTGGTTTAAATGTGGTCTATTCTAACGCCCTGAGAGGGTTACTGTCTCCTTTGATCTGTGGGTAAATAACCCTAAAGGCACAGAGGCGCTTTACAAGAAAGTACAGCAGACAGGAAGTAAAACAGGAGACAGAGCAGACATTAATTCTGGTCAAATGAAGTCCCATGTCTCTGACCTGTTGGTGTGGGGGTCGAAACACTCCACTGAACGCAGGCAGGATGAGCCGTCACGACCTCCTACTGCATATAACCTGACGATGTGAGAAAATTGTATTACCTCTCTGGACACACACACAAAACGCCTGCCACACAAAACACTGTGCACATTTCTGGACTCTGAAAGTCCCTCTTCAATTTAGTGATGCTGAAACAGATGGTACGAGGGTGTGTTTGTGTGTGTGCGTTTTGCAGGATTTGGGGACAAAGTGAGGTGAGCAAAATCAATCAGCCAAAACTCTTGGGGGCATCACAACCCCGAGCAGTCACTCACTGTGTGTGTGTGTGTGTGTGTGTGTGTGTGTGTGTGTGTTTGGCTGCTGTGGAGTTGGGAGGGCGAAGAAAGAAGTGCATTAGAACCAGTCAAGCAAGTAATGAGCTCCATCAGGCAAAGAGCCCAGAGAATATACAACACATACAGTACATGCACACTCAAATGCATGCAGCCTTGCACACACACACACACACACACACACCCACACACACACACACACACACACACACAACTGCTGGGCATGCTTAGCACAAATCAGTTGTTTCTGTATTAATTAGCATCTAAAAAGCCTTTCTCTGTAGCATCTCTATGAGGCACTGAATAATAAAAACAACAGCACAATATTGCAATTCTAACTTCTGCTGCCGGCTGCAGGAGAACTCTGGAGCAAGTGAGGATTCAAGTCCTGAATTTATCAAATCATACTGTTAATATGTGCATTTGTGCATGAGTGACTGTGTTCATGTGCTGTGTGACTGTAAGTATTGTCACCTTTGCTATTATTGTTTGATGTTGCAGTGTGTCGTGCAGGAATGTACGTACAGTAGACAGAGTGATCTAACCTAATTTCTGTTACCTTCACAAGCACTTGATTTAGCTTATTAATTGATGAGTTCTATGGCATATGGTGGCTAAGTACTATAATGAAGTGAGGTGATGCAATATCCATATGTGTACAGTTTATGTCATTTCTGCTAAAAATGTCAACAATTGATTGAATTACATCAATTTGGCTGACATTTCTGTCCAAGGCGACTTGTAGTCATTGCATTCATAAGAAGATGTAAACAAACAACTAAAAGATTGCTCAGTGTTAAAGTGCATGTGCTAATTTTGAATCTTTAAAGGGGCTCTATGCAAAATTTAGAGCATATGAATTGTAACCGCTGTATGAGCACAGTGCAAGTCAGCAGTGATTAAATATCTAGTGGGATACACACATGCACTAACATGCACGCGGCAACCTCTGGGGCTGAAAAATGAAGCTTACGAAGAGGTGCCCAACGTTTCCTTGTAATGTACTTGTTGTGTTGTTATTCAGTACACGAGTTGACAAAGTGAATCAATCAACACTCCCTGGATGTCAATATGACAACTCCAACCATTCCATTTCTTTTTAATGTCTCTCTTGAATGACAAATGCTTTAGTGATGATTTGCTCTTTAAGCATTTAAAAAAAAGTACATGAATTTCCACGAGAGATAATGTGCAGATCTTTTTTACCCTACTGACTAATCGAATGGTTGAGGAGTAGGTGGAATTTCAGTTGACCAAGATCTTCTATGGTTGAATACAGCCCTGGTGGTTTGCTGCTATATTAATGCCCTGAATGTCACATACAGAACCTGTAACTTTGATATATGTACAGTACATGTGTGAAGCAATACATGAGTGGATTCACTTACTTGCCATTGAGTACAGCTACTCCCACTGTGCTTCTGGGTGTTGCCATACTTGCAACAAAGCTCCACTGGCGAGCTTGGGGGTCCCACCTTGTGACAAAATACAGTATGTTAACATTTTTTCAGTCCTGCACATGGCTAATTTGAACTTTGATTAATGTTCCAACAAGTGATGAAATATACTGTTCAGTTAAGAGATTAAGTTTTTACATCACTGCATCTTTCAGCAGCAACATCTCTCCCAAAGACAGCTCTCGTGTTACTCTAGAAAATTCACAGAAACTGCTGTCAACAGTTTCTATTTGAACTATTTTCAACTGAAGAAATGGTCCCCCTGAACTGTCATGAAACTGTCAACTCATTGTATTAGGACGGAGATGGAATATCTGAAAACCTGGTTAAATAAAACCAAAACTATCTGCTATCTGTAAGGCTAGATATGATGTAAGTGAGAATAAACACACACACACACACACACACACACACACACGGTTTAGCTTGTCTCAACAGGGGCAGTCCAAGAATATTGAGAGAATGTCAGGGAGCGCTGGTTTGTGTGTCTGTTTTTTAATAGCACTTTAGTCCCACATACGCATCTTCACAATTTTATAATTAGGCTTGCTTCTACCACCAACATCTGAAGCTTTTTTCTGTGAGCCTTTCCATGCTTAAGACAAGACTTGTGCGCAGCTTTTCATTGTTTACAATGGAATGGCATGCTCCAATACTTCAGCTAGGCTCCTCTGCTAAGGCGCGTCAAAATGAAAATTGTTCTACAACTGAGTGTGGCTCGTTGTTATTCATCATTATTATTGTTATTATCATTATATTTTTTGGATAAGCAAGATGCTGACTTGTACAGTCAGCTCACCTTGCTCTCTGTTAGATCATCTAGTTTCAGTTTTCCACCTCTGATGAAGAGCAAGGCAAAGCCACTTTCCTAAACTTTGTCTCATCCACAGAGTCCCATATGGGGCTCTGCGTCTGTCTGAAGCAGATACGAAAGCGGGATACTAAAGCGTAGAGCAGTAATGTAATGCACAGCAGGCTATAGGACAGGACCTTTTTCTCAAAATATTATGATTTTACTCTCAACTTCTCAGAGAACACAGATATGTGGTATATGTTTTAAATGTGCAGGAAGTTTTTAACATATGCAGAGATATTTCTTCAACACATTAACACATTATTAAAATCCAGAGGTTTATGAATTCATTGTAAAAAATTAATCTGTCATTAATGTGAATAGGTGCCACATGCACATTTAAAGAGGTAACAAAAGTCATAAATAAGGACTGAAGACTAAATCAGTGTGCTGACTCAGCAGGGATGACATTAAATGAGAAAATGTGATCGACAGGAGAATAAATATTTGAAAGAAATACAGAATAAGAAAAATACAGAATACCTGAGAGCCTTACTGCATTAAATTAAATTATTTTGAATTGTCACTTGGTGCCTGAATTTTGTATTTTCCTTCACAAAGAAAAGGGTATTTCCACCATAAATTGGTGCATAAAAATTCACCAGAAAGCAGGAAATGAAGTTTGATGACACTAAGAATTTCCTGGGGCAGAACCCCCATATCCCCTACTTCAAATATGTAGGATAGCCTACATATCTTCCTGCTTTTATTCCAGTTACCTCAAACTTTTCTTGGTAGACTGCTCTTTGGCCTCGGCGCCAAATCACTGCTTTCTGATTGGCTGCTGTTTGGCTGTTTGTAAGAGGTCAAGGGATGCTGGTTTTCCCTCGTCAAAATGTAGCTTAACTTTGGAGCGTTATTTAGCCCCCCTCTGGGAGGCTAGCATAACAGCATAGCATAGCTAGCACAGCAGCAGGCAATTAATGCCATTAGAAAAAATTAACACAATATGTTCTGGCGTTGATCACATCTCGATTAATGCGTTAACGCTAACAGCCCTAATTTTTGGTAATGTGAGTGAACTGATCTAATATGTAAGTAAATAACAGAATATAACAGCTATGTAAAGTATCCTCTTACCTTTCCACTGTGCTGAGGTAGCTCCAGCCATCATGTCCTCCTACTGCATACATGGGCCCCTCTAGGACAGCTACACCTGCAATACACAACATCATGTGCATGATTATATCATGGCAGCTTCCCAAAACACTGTCAGCCTGGACAAGCTCATAAAGCTACAAAGATTTAGCACGAGAGTGTGACTTTCTATTGTGTGTACAACCACACCCTGGACATCAGGCATGCAGAGTTAGCAGCATGTTGACACCTCCGCACTCAAGGGATTTATCTGCCAGAACATCTG